TTTTTTTTTTTTTTTTTTTTGCAAATTCCAAGGCAGCTTCCATGTATTTTGCACTGAGGAGAGGCTTCCGTCTGACTTAGAGCCCAGATGGGTAAAGGGATGCAATTATGGTGATCCTTCTGGATCTCTATCCCATCTCCACACAGGATCTCTGGAGTTCAGTCAGAGTGACCATCAGGTTCTTGGTCACCTCTCTTACTAAGGCCCTTCTTCCCCGATTGCTCAATTTGACCAGGCAACCAGCTCTTGGTTGCGCCAAACTTTTTCCATTTGAGAATTATGGAGGCCCCTGTGCTTTTAGGAACCTTCAGTGCAGCAGAAATTTTACTGCAGCCTTTCCCAGATCTGTGCCTTGCCATAATCCTGTCTCTGAGCTCTGTAGGCAGTTTCTTTGACCTCATGGCTTTTGCTCTGCTTCTTTATCAGCTGTGAGGCCTTCTATAGAGAGGTGTGCGCTTTTCCAAACCATGTCCGATCAATTTAATTTACCACAGGTCTACTCCAATCAAGGTGTAGAAACATGTCTGCAACAGATCAAGAGAAATGGGAGGCAACAGCACTAAATTTCAAGTGTTGTTGCAAAGGGTCTGAATACTTAACGCCAATGTAATATTTCAGGGTTTTTCTTTCTTTTTAATAAATTTACAGACGTTTCTAAACTTCCGTTTTCATGTTGTCATTATGGGGATACCGAGTGTAGAATAATGAGAAAAACAAATGACTTTCAACAACTGTAGAATCAAGCTGCAGCACCATAAAACTGACAAAAGTGAAGGGAGTCTGAGTACTTTCTGATCTGATTGATCAGAAAGTGGGATCCTGAGAGAAGCAGCCGAGTCTGACGTCGAAGCTGCCAGGCCAAACGCTCGCCTTAGGAAGGCATTGACTTCCAAGGAAGCGGACAGGGCTGGCTGTCAGGCTCCCTCCCTTCCTCGGGATAGCTCCACAGGGCAAGCCAGGTGCCCGACTCTCAGGGCGACCGTCCTTACCTCAAGGCAGAAACCCGCCACCGCGCTTAAGGTCTCCCCTAGCTTGGCTCCAGGGGAAAAAGAAGGCTCGCTTCGGAGCGACTAGGGCGAGAGAGGAAAGCCGCGCCCCTCACTCCGCTTTGTCGTGTGTTTGCCCGCAGTGAGCGACAGCTCGCCCTATCACAGCCCCAAGGTGGAAGAGTGGAGCAGCCTGAGCAGAAGCGGCTTCACGGCCCAGCACGTTGCGGTGAACGGGCTGGACAAGGGCTCCCTCGAGCACGAGACCAAGTACAGCCAGGTAAGGGGGCGACTGCCTGGGAGGACGGAGGGGGTGCACGTCCTGGCTGGGCCAGAAGGGGTGGGGGTGGGGTGGGTATGGAAAGAGGAGGGGAATCGCGCGCTTGCTTCGGGGGTCTGCCTGAAGGAACTTGCTTTTCACTAGCAGCGCCAACAGACTAAGCCAACTTCCTGGATAAAACACGCGTGTTTGGATCTGGGGAGGGGAGAATTCACACCAGAGCCTCCGTTGATCCATTCTGGCCCTGATTGAGCTCCAAATAGGACTAACCCCCCCCCCCGGTTGGGCTTATACAAAGACGTCCTTCAACACGTCAATTTAGTTACTCTTAACATTGATAGAAGTACCGTGTCATAGTGCCTGGGAAGTTGTGTGAAGCCGGAAAATCCGAGAATCGGGTTAAACGTGCTGCGTGAATGCAGGCAGTAAAGCTAAAAGGGTCCCCTCCCCTCAGGAGTCTGTTCTCTAATGGGATTTTATCAGTTGCTCTTCTGCCATTTGGGGGGGGGGGGCGCAGCAGCCCCACATCGCTGAACCCAAGGGGCTTTAGCAAAGTCTCTGGTTTTTCAGTTGCCTTTTAGCAGGCTTGTATTTTAAATCCATTTCCACAAAGGAACAAGAGTTTAACTAGATTGTTTGGTCCTGGCTCTAATCTGTGTATGGAGTGCAGTTTGCTCAGAATCGTGTCATTTGATGGGTTTCCACAATATGTTGGCTAACGTGTGGTAGTCTAACTTTGTGAGATGGTGGTTAGTTTATGGTTCAATATCTTGTGCCAATCAAATCTGATTTAATTCAGACTATGTGCGTTGTGTTTCTACTCCCAGGTAAGCCTCTGTAGCAGTCATCTGGGGATAACCTCCTCAGTTGATGAGACTTTCTTTCCAGGGGATGTCTTCCAAAGCTACTGTTTGGCTGGGGTAAATTTGTTAGGGGTCAAATTCAGAAGAAATGCACTGAGAGTCATCCCTGCATGCTTGTGGTCCTTGCCCATTGAAGGAAGTGACAGGAACTGAGTGTTGCTGGCAAAGCTGCTTTCCTATTTAGTAGGATGAATGACCAACTCAGTTGGCGTTCAAAGAATCAACCCAGAATCAGATATCTAGGCAAATAGAGGACTATCCCCCACATAATTATGGGTGGTGCTTGATGTTGTTGGGCCAAAACTGCCAGTGTCATTTTATTGGTGAAGGAATGGCATAGTTGGACTACCAGTAGACTACACTCCTTGCAACTACACTTTGAAGAGGGCCAGTAGAAGAAAATATATGTTATATAGCTCAGGGTTTGAACTGTGGAGTCTTTGGTGCTCTCTGAGCTTGGTTGTTTGCTTGCAATGTTTCATTAACAGACAGCAAGCCCTTCTAGCATGGAAGACATTACATGGTCTGGAAACCTCTGGAAGCAAACAACCAAAGTCAAAGAGCACCAAAGATTTGATTTTGGAGAAGGTCAGATCTCTGCGCCTCCAACTGGTAAGTCCCAAGCTGCTCTACCATGAAAGTGAAGCTGTTCTGAGATCTACAGCTGGGAGGGGAATGCTGGAAGGGTATGTTTCTTGAATTGGGAAACCCAGCACTGGGTTGATCAGTCTAGAGATGGGCTAGCTCCTTGGTTCTTTGACCAGAGGTTCGTCAGTTTTTGGCCCAGGTGTGCTGTGACAGGCCCATGTGACCAGAATTCTGTCTTATTGCTCTCTGTCATTTAGCAGTTAGACTTAGACTTTCTTAGTCTAGGTAATCAGCTGCTTTTCCAGATATACCTAAAGCCTCTCAATTTGGGGACCAGTGCAGGACTTCACTTGACACATTCAGGGGATGATTGAAAAGCCTGTTTGACCCAAATGCTTACTCAGGGCAGGAATACAGATTAAACCACTCATACTGATGTCTCCTAATATTCTTCTTTGATATATTCACTACCTCTCTTGGTAATTGGTTCCACCACAGGTCTGCTGTTAATGTTGGGAATTGGGTAAGGTGCTGGTACTATTCATTTGGAGTGTTTTCTTGTAAAATAGTTGGTATACTTAAATACATAATGTCCTGTATGTTGAAATAGAAGAGAACAGGTCCTGGAGCTGCTTCTATGTGATATCATTTCAGATAGTTGAATAATGCTATCCTATCTCTTTCAGTTGTCTTTTTTCAAGGCTAAACATATTAAACTCCTTTGGTTGTTCTTCAGATGCCTCCATTTCTATTCTCCTGATCAATTTCATTACTTTACACGAAATACTACACAGAAGTATTTCTGTGAACATCCATAAGGTTCCCACAATTTATCACTGAAGTTGCCCCTTCGAAAGATTAGATTAGATGGCAAGATTTTTTATTGACAAACTCATGCTGACTTCTGGTAATTATCACATTTTTAAAAAAAGCTTATAGATTTCCTTATGCTCTGTAGGCTCTTAAGGTAGTCATGTCGAGGTGGCGCAGTGGTTAGGGTGCAGTACTGCAAGTCACTTTAGCTGACTGTGATCTGCAGGTCAGCGGTTCAAATCTCACCGGCTCAAGGTCGACTCAGCCTTCCATCCTTCCGAGGTTGGTGAAATGAGGACCCGGACTGTGGGGGCAAGTTGCAGACTCAATTTGCAAAAAAAAATTTGTAAACCGCTTAGAGAGCGCTGAAAGCCCTATGAAGCGGTATATAAGTCTAATAAATAAATAAATGTCATACTGATTTGTAGCTTGAGGTACCTTTCTTTTCTTCTTTTTTATAATTGGTTGAAATAATCCCTTCTGTGCTGAGGGAAACTTCTTTTCGAACAAAGGGCTACCAAAGGGCTACCAAAGAGGTGAAAGAATAGGTCTATGGAGTATGTTTGATGCTACAATCGTATATAGCAGTGGTGGTAAACCTTTTTGGCACCAAGTACCAAAAATGAGAGCATGCGTACATGGGAGCATCGGAAACTGAAAGAGCAGCTCCCTGCTGTGCATGCGTCCCGTGCACCAGGAAGCTGAGCTTTTGGTTTCTGGCCTGCGCATGCGCACCAGGGAGCTGCTCTTCCAGTTTCCGGTGCACAAAAACCAGCTGGCCAATGCGCATGTGTGCGCCAAAACCCAGAAGAGCGCTGGGCAATGGCTGGCATGCCCAGAGAGATGGCTCTGTGTGCCACTTCTGGCAGGCGTACCATAGCTTTGCCATCATGGCTATATAGGTAAGCTTTCTTAAGGAAACATCCTGAAAGAACACAGTAATGCATATTTGGGGGGGGGGTCATATACAGGATGGTACTTTTTAGTCCTATTTCATATGTCTACTGATAACTTTGACAGCCTAGTATGTCTGAATGGAGATTTGCAGAAATAAAGGGAATATTCACTAGCTATTTCACAGAGTAAAATGTCAGAATGTCCTTAGGACCTCCAGTATTTGTCTTGTTTGTTTCACAGAATTTAGAAAGAAAGAAAGAAAGAAAGAAAGAAAGAAGGAAGGAAGGAAGGAAGGAAGGAAGGAAGGAAGGAAAAAAGAAAGGAAGCAAGCAAGCTTTGATAGCATAATTGAAGCCTTAAACTTTTTTTTACCATACAAGACCATACATCTTACTTGCTCTGGTGATGTATTTGTATTCCACTGCAAGATATATAATGGCACTTTTTATAATTATGATGCCATTAAGGTACCTAGCTGTTTTCTTAAACCTCTTTTCCTGAAATGTCCACCTTGCTGGAACCATTGAAAATACCTATGAGTTTGGGGCAAGGGAAAGCAGGGCTTTGGGAGACTTGCTCATATACAGAGTGCTGACCTATATTTCCTGTGTGGGAAGGGGCACCCATGGTTTTAGATTTAAAAAATGGTCTGATTTCTTTTTTTAACACACCAATTGTCTTGAAGTATATAAAAGGGATATACACATTGTACTGTTCCCCTGTCTACTTTTTTAATGAGATAAATATACTTGTGCTGAGAAAATAAACTGCTATTAATTTTTTGTGGATTTATTTTTCAAATATTTTGTACCTCTGAAAAATAGGCCAAAAAATTAAAAATATATTTTAGAGTCAACTAAAAGTCAAACATTTACTTAGAAGTTTAACCAAAACTTACTGAAGGTAGTCTTAATCCCTTGTTAAAGAGATTTTCAGTGCCAGTGTGTTATCATGATGCATTGAAAGCAAACATGACTTTTATTTCATTAATCTGATGACTAATATTTGGAGCGCCTTAGTTTATTTTCTGCAAAATAAACTAAGGACTATATGGAAGGAAGGATGATATAATGACTTTTTCAAATAAGTTGTCACCTTTGAAACTTTAATAGAAACTATTTAAAACAAAGAAGCAAGTAAAGCACTTAATGTTAAGTATAAAATTAAATTTCTTTTGCTATCATTATGCTTTTAATAGTTGTTTATTTCTGAGAAGTTGGACTTCTTTTCAGGAAAAATGGGTCTACATTGAAATTTGAAACCATTAATAAAATCTTGTTTACAAAGTGATGTTTATGAATAAAATCCTGTTTTATGAAGTTGAACCATAAATTTATACAACAGCATCCATCAACAAGTATATGCCTACTGAAGTAGTTCGTGCAGTTGGTGACTCTCAGATGTACCATAGAGTTCAATAATTGTGCAGTGGGAAGGGACCACAAAGATTTTGTCCTCTGACGTCTGCATGTCTTCATGTTCTAGTTGGTTCCATTATCCATAACTCCCAGATTGATGATGAGTGTTTTAATCTATCATATATGGAAAACACTGGGTTGGACAAGGCAGGATGTTTGGAATAATCTTGGTTCCCCAGCCCCAGCTTCTAGGTTTGTTACAGACTGGGCCAGTATTTTAGTCTACTAACCTGATTCTTAATTTTTAAGATGCCTTCTGTGTAATTCTTGGATTAACTCTTTTTTTTAAAAAAGATGGTTTAGTTTTTCACCATTCTAGAAAGTAGCTGTCAGATGTTACCTCTGAAACCTTACATGTTGCCATGGATTTCTGTCTTTTACAGAGTATTCTTTAAGTATACTTTCAGGTCAGAGAGTGTAT